TCACCCGTTTTACACGGAAGATAGGTTTCATGAAAAACCGTATAACTTGAAACTCTTGGAAAAACCGTGCTTAACAAAAATCGCTACAAAAAAGTTCTTTTTGTCAGATGTTAATACGATGAATAACAACCACATTGAACAAAAAATAAATATTATTTTAAGTAATATCAAAATCATTTAATATATTATAAAAATATTAATTATTTCAATAATAAAAAATAATTATATTATTTACTGACCTCGATCAATTATATATAAACACTAATTAAAAACATAGTTTAAAAACAATGATACTCATTGTTTTGGTACTTCAAACAAACTAGCTCATACACACATAAAATTTAGTTTTAATCATAAAACGGAGAGTTCCCATCTTATGTACATATTTCATCATAGACAACTAATATTTCGTAACTGTAACATACATTTTGCAGTATTGTATTTTCACAGTAAAATAATGGAAATGTTGTTGTAGATAGAAGCAAATTATAGTTTAGTGTTTATAATTTCATGTAAAGAAAATTCTTTTTCAAAAACCGTGTAAGATCTAAAACGTGTAAAACGAATACCGCGTGAAACTGGGGATAAGTGCACAATAATAAAAAATAATTATTAAGAAATGTTACATACAATTATAAATGAAATATCTGAAATATATTTAAGACAAATCTGTCAAGTACGATTTTAAAGTAAATTTGCACATTTAATCGACACATATTTATGAATGCAATTATAAAAATGTGTAAATACGATATATACACATAATCAAGAGCGTGTAAGTCAGAATGATACAAGTCATAGCAAATTCTTGAAAAACGAGGTAATTTCGAGGTTGCACGCCTTAGGGAATTACAATGCTACGGTGCAACGGCGCCATGAAGCGCGTTCTACGTCGTACTACGCTACGCGAGCAGACAGGAGGACGATGAAATGCGATTACCGCCGCTTTAACCGTAGTTCAGAAGCTACGATGACTCGGTAGATACGTGGATACGTGGAAAGGAGGCGGCGAACAAGACCGTTATTGTTCGTACCATTTGTACTTCGAGCACATGGAAAAACTCATGCTGTCTGATAAACGTCTCACAAAATTATATATATATATATATATATATATATATATATATATATATATTCGTATACATATTTCAGTGATTATACTGAATAAAATTAAAATTAAATTATATTACAGTGAGAATGAGACATTCCTAGTCTTGAAACGTTCGAAAAATTTAAAATATTTATTAAATAGTGCAAAAACAATGCATATATATATATAATATAATATATATATATATATATATATATATATATATATATTGATTGTTTCTTTTCCGAACAGTAAATGCAATAATAAAAAACAATTTGTTTTTTGAAGATGTTTAATAACGACGTTTCGGAACTAGATACGTTCCATCATCAGGTTTATTCTGTCAAAGACAATGTTTTTTTTAAACTATTGACTAACATTAATTTTTTATATAAAATTGAGAAGCAAAAATTATTTACCTGTAATAATTTATATATCCATATCACTAATATTTTTTGTTAAAAACACTCGAGTTTTTCCGAGGATATTTGTAAATGTTTTGACTTCACAAGACTTTAACACACTGATGTTATGGAGTTCTGTCGGCCAGATGTAAGGGATATGTACGGAATTTAGGCAAAAATAATTTTTTATGGCTTTTGTATTGGTAATTTACGAAAAATGGGAAAGCATTGCTTCAGCGAATGTTGAGAAATATTATTATGTATATAAACATGCACATACATATGCACACTTACATACACATAAATGTATATACGCTTTATTACTTTTTACACTGGTACATAATCCATTCCTTTATAATTTTTCTAAATAATCTGTAATAACCATCATTAATTAATGTTTGTCAATAGTTTTTTTTAAAAAAAACATTGTCTTTGACAGAATAAACCCTTCAAAAAACAAATTGTTTTTTTTATTGGATTTACTGTTCGGAAAAGAAACAATCAATATATTGAAAAAATCCAGGACTTATCTATTGAATATATAAACTCCTAACACAAATTTTCCTAAATTTTAGCAGTTTAGCAAATACTAAACATCCCTAACACTTTTTGTGTTTTGTATCATTTTCACATTTAAAATCTGTTTCACTATTAGTTAATTAACGCCCTGCACACAAAATTAAATATTTTATAACCATAAACACACTTTCATCTTGCTATCAGTTGTTAATGTGTCATAGATATTAAAATTAGCTGCATTATTTATCAGCACAAAATTACAAATAAATCTGTCATATCAAAGTTAAAAAAAGCAAAAATGCTTCAGAAAAATCAGTCAAAGCCTATATCTCAAATCAGACCCACCATTTCCAATTGCAAAAGTATCTCTTTATCGCCAACTCAAATATACATTCATTCATAATCATTACATGCATGCAATTCATATAGTTTCATTAGCATTAGCAAAGAGTTTCATTTTTAAAGTATTGAAACTGTTATAAAACATTTCTGTGGTGCTATATGAATCAACCGTAAAATTATTCTTGCGTAAAAAAATCATTCTTAATTTAAACATTTTGTAAACAATCTCATTATTTCTTTATGGAACTACTCTCGTGGGAGACATCCGACGGTTGTATGTATTTAAGAATGTAGTCTTCCCGGCTTAACGTGCAGCCCACATACAACGAATCGTGACGTAATATAAAAAACATCTGTCGTACATATTTTGTCATATTAAAACCTAGGATAATAATTCTGAATGTTTAGAGTAGAAATATGAAAGTGTTAAATATAAACCACAACATAAGTTATGATTTTTTTAAAGCATTAGTATATCACTATAACAAAAATTTTTAATAAATTATGGATCAACATGAATACAGAATCGATATTAATATTGTTCATATTAAGCATGCCGATATTGAAAGATACAAATTATTTTATATAGATATCATCCAAGCTCAAATGAAATAATAAATGTAAAAAATGTGCTTCAATCTGGATAGATCTTTGCTTGATTGACAGCTAAATCTTGGACAATGCATATTTGCAGAGGTGTCTTCTGGCTGATTTCAATTATTAATCCCAAAGTTAGTTTGGAAGATAATGTCGATGTGTCAACGCCCCGAATGCAGCACTCGAAACGGGCTCGGTGAGGAGAAAGTGCGTGACGCATTGGCATGTCACGGGCCGGATAACAAAGGCTTCGTTTCGTTATTGCGACCATATGGTCTTTTATGACGCGCCGGACTTAGATCGAGTTCATGTATACACGCGCTCATGTTCCATGAGAGAGGTAAAAGTCAGTTTGCAAGGGAATTTTTAAACGATCATCGCCATTAGTTTGAACCCACACAAAAACTGTCAGCTTGATTATATCCGCCGCTTAATCATGCAATTAACGAAACAAATGTAAAAAGAATATAAAACTATTCTCAAATTAATATTCAACATGAAGTTTTTATATGAATTAGATGAGCAAATTCAAAATGGAAGGTAAATGTAAAACATTCAATTTCACGTAAAATATCATTACATTTGCATAATTATTTTTAGATAGATAATTTTTCAATCTAATAAACATTAATTATTTTTTTTTAAATATATTCATCAAAAATTGGCTGACTTTTTTTTATTAAAATAATATCAGCCAAAAATCTTAAAAAAAAATCATTCCATTTCAACGGGAGAAGCATTCACCGATAGTGTTGTTTTTAATTTGGAGGAAATTGCGACACGTCTGATCATTTCCAATCCCATAATTTTAATAAACTTCCTTATCTCAGACACCGGATATCTCATCCCATGAAATGAATCAAGAGAGGATTTATACGACAGCAACGAAAGCACGGTGTCAACCGACTAAAACGAAACGAGTGGGAGATGTGTAGGCAGTCGAATTTCTATTCTACACCATGAATGATTCTAGATCTTTAAAACATCACCCACGTTTACCTCATTATTATTACTAATATTTTTTAATGAGAACTGTTTGTTTTACATGATCCGAAGAAATGTTTTATTATAATAAATTTTAAAGTGTAATTTACGTGCATATATTATGATATTCATAGTACTAACAAAAGCTTTAATAGAAAGATGAATAAATTAAAAAAATTGACCAAAATTACTTTCAACGCGGTGTTAATAAGTATAAACAAAGAAATATGAATAAAATTTCTAATGGAACGCACAAATATGGTCGGTTATGCCTAAGCACTTGAAGTGTTAGGGTGGTTTATGCTACGGCTTCAACTTCAACATTCGCGTGAAACGTTTTTGATTAATTAAAACAGAAGGAAAAGACAGAGGGACTCATCCAAGCGGAAGAAGGGAGTGCAAACCCAAAGGTAAATATTTAGGAGCGGCGCGGCGCATGCCAGCGCGTAGATTGACTTAATGCTGATACAACGGCGACCAGACGATCCGTATTCTGTCTCTGGGAGCGGTCTGATAATAAATAGAATAAGAACAAGTTGACTTACAGCCAAACTAGTCGTTTATCATATGGTCCATAGTATTTGTTCATTTAAAATTAATCATTAATAAAAAAAACATCAATTAACTTTTATCAATTCAGCGGAGCTTCACACATACCTCGACGAAAAGTATGTTTATTCATCAATTAATTATAATAATACATTTAACTTTTTAGAAATAAATATCATAAAGACACATTTTTATATGATAACCTCATTGACTCATAGCGATAACAACATTTGATTTAATTATAAATATCAAAACATTAGAGTTTATATAAATATGACCTCTAATTTATTATTATTGATATGAACAACTGGTAAGTAGACCTTGAATACAAAGGTAGTGATGATACTCAAAATAATTGTACAGTACAAAACTAAACAATAGCGAAAAAAATCTAATTGTAAGGGTAAGTGTAATAGACGCGATTTCCCTAAATATATCTTGTGTTTTCGTAACGCATACGTAAGCGATAGATATGTTTAATGTACAGATGTGGAATATGCTTCCCTGAAACTTACCTTAATACTGTCGTAACAAGCGGTAACTCGTCCGTTCTGCACTTCTACGTTTGGTGGCGGGTGTGCAAACTTGCACTCGGTGTCCGGTCGCGAACATTTGTTGCGCTGGAACTCGCGGCACACTTCCAGTTGTAGCCACCGCGAGTCCTTTCCATTTAGAAGATTGTTCATATTGACCATTGCCATGACGAAACTCTGCTGAGCTTTTTATACCGTTGGCTCACACGAATATAATTTTGGGGTAGAATAAAAGGGGGACGGTAAAAGTCAAATATATAATAAAATTAACGAGTATCAAAATGTAACAAGACGCTGCGAGGAATCGTCTCTCGCAGTCAATGAAAAAGACTGCACAACCGTCGCAGTTTATAATGTTCAGATGTATTATTTGAAAATACAAACGCTAAGTGGATTCCTATGCTGCTTCATTTATGACAACATATATAGTAGCTATTATTCCACAAAAATATACTATAAATATATACGTCTTTTTTATTACATGTGGTTAGAATAGGTCGATATTAACAAACACATCAGTTAAAACAGTTAAAATATCACACACGACATCGAGTTCAAACTTCGAAATCAATATGGCTTTTCTCTTTAAAAATATTTAATATTTTTATATTAAAATACAGAGTAACAATTTTAAAATATGGCAAACGGCGGACTAGAGTGTAAGAACGATCCAGAACTTAGTTTCTTGTAATAAAAATATTTAATATTCTATCATCAAATTTATATCACACTTCGTTATTATAGCTATTTAACGTTTGTGCTAAAATCAAATTTTTTTTTGAAAATTGATTCGCAGCCGAACGGAGTTGCGCGTAGGGTAGGTGAGGGAGCTCAAGCAATTAGGCAATTTCGTTTAAAGGTTGTGTATTTATTTTGAATATTGGTGTGTATATGTGTGCTTAAGAAGCGTATCTGCTAAGCCGGGTCAGGTCTGAAAGAAACAGAAAAAACAGTATGTTAAGCTAAAGCTCAATAAGCAGAATATTTTCTAATCTACATAAGCTAAATTATGATTTTATTACTAATACCTAATTAGCATCTCCATTATATGGCATTTTCAGAAAATTGGTTACTTCATAAAAAGCATGGGATTGAGTTACAATAATAGAATTATATCTAATAGTAGGATAAATACAGATAACAATATCGTTAGTCAAAAAAGCTTCATAAAATTAAATAAGCAAAATATATTTATATGATAGCATTTTATATTATTATCATTAGTACTCATCATTATGATACAGGTAATATCTTATCATAGGGTTCAAAATATTTGAATTGCACGACATAAAAACGTGTTCGTTCTTGGTAAAACAAAAATATAAAATTCTACAATAAAACAAAATTCTAATTGCGGTTCTCATAGCACAATGCAGCTAATTAGAAATATAAGAAGTATAGAATAAGGTTATGCATGATTGTCGCAACCAGTTTTAGCGTGTTGTTATTTTAACAAATTAATATAGAGATTAATTAAAATATATAATAAAGAGATTCGAAGTGTCAAATAGTACGGCCCCAGAGGTATCTTTTTTATTTATGCAAAAAAGCAGATCCTATAGTTTCTTTGCATAATGCGAGCTCGATTCGCATACCTATAAACAAAAACAAATTCTTGCTATATTTATAGCAATAGTTGGACTTTCAATACATGCTTTGCAATGTTATTTGTATTGATTTATGGAGCAGAGATTGCATTAATTAACATATTTAATATTAGTCCCTCGACATCATTGTGTTTAATTATTTCATGAATATACAAAACTAATTATTGCCGGGCAGTTATAAAAATATGCATGCCAATTAAAAACATCATAAGTTGATTACAATTAAGTCGCACTGTATTGCTTATAAAGAGTTTCTAACTTTAGGCTACGCAAAAAAACTGTTTCAAATAATATAGTTATTATCCGGATAGTGATATACATGTATTTATTTCAGCAAGTACATCGCCATCAAAATAATTTGCATTGTAAGTGATAAAATAAACATGTAATATGCAAATTATACAATTGTCCCAACCATTTCTACAAATAGATGTAAAAGATCAAGGCTTATATTACTAGCCCACTTATATTTTACATTTATAAAAAAACTGGGCTCAAGACGATCACTAACTAACACATCATGGAGAAGTACGCGATAAAGTAAGTGCAATTGAAAAGAGCAAGAAACTAAATACGTGATAATATGCCTAGTTTAAATCAAGTTCTCACTTTTTATTGCTCATACATTGCGATAAAATATGCAAATAAAATGATATTAAGAACTAGCAATCACAGATGTAAACAATGTTGTTCTTCATAACTTTAAATGAAAATACAATGAGTAATTAATTGTAGTGAAATTGCTATCTCAGAACCGTAGAAATTTTTATGTGTACGAGACTTTTTATTTATATATTTAATTTTCGCACATTAAAAAAGTCGAGGTAATGGTTCAGTCCAGTAGGTTTTAATTATCTCTGCATGAAATGCACAGACGCATCAGACTGTGAAGTTGAGCATCGCGCACACGAAGCCCGTCGAGACGAAGCGCGATGCAAAATAAAATGTGCACAGCAAAGGTGAAAGAACCAACATCGAATGTTATCTGAACATTACTATACGCCAGGTTGAAGGTATTTTTAATGCGGTAACGACGATATGTATCTATAATACAATGAATATGTTTCTGCCATTCAGTCTGTGCGATGATAATTATACTATGTTATACCAAGATAGGGTTTACTATCAGACGACAAACATCTACCCGTGCATATTAAAAGCTTGAATAAAATACTCTTCAAATATATATAAGTCGTTAATACATTTGACCCGACGGTAAATTAGTTTAGATCGTCGTTCACATATACGGAGCTAGTGATATTTTATAGTTCGTGATGTCATAAATTCAATGAACAATAATACGCTTCGTTTAATTTCTGATTGAGGAATTTGTAATGTGCGCCAGTATAGCACATCAAATAAAATGAGATCACGTATATAAGAATTCATTTCAGATTGTAATACAAAGGATTTCATTATTAATCAAAGAAATAATTAACTGTAAGTGTATTCGTTATTTTATACTATTATTGCAAATGTTCAGGCCTTCAGATTACTTGAAGATATTAAAAAAGGCCAATAATGTATAATTCATGAACGAAACATCTTGCTGTTAGTTAAAAAAAATCATGAAATATCTTGAAAATGTTGATGCCATTGCATAGACTTGATGAATATTACCAATTTCATTTAAAATATAAAACAAAACTAATTGTATGTGGCATATGCATTAAGTAAACTTTCATGAACTTTCCAATATGTGTGAATAATTGGCTAATAGAATTTAGATTTAGCAACTGCTAAAATTATGATACAATTTTGAAACTTAGACGTAATTATTTATTATAAACCATTAATGAATTTAATTAAAATTTATATTATAAAGTTTATATTTTAGTTCTACTAAATTTATATCTAGTATTTATCGGCAGAAAAAGGTACAAATTTGCAAGATAAACCGTATATCATCATCGCCCATCGTGTATGTATTATCGTGAAAAAAATGTTATATTGATAATTTTTTCCACCGTTAATCCAAATTAAAATGCTATCTTGTACGTCTACGTGTATATATATATATATATATATATATATATATATATATATACAGTCATTTATGTTTATCAAACAAGAACAACTAGTCAATATAACATAAAGCAATTCATTTTGTTGATAAGTCCAGTCGTACTATTTCAATCACACATACAATCCTCAACATATGACCTTGTCTGATTAATAATAAAACTCATTATGGACAATCAGCTCAGGAATATGAAACATTTGATTTGCCATTTTGATAAACTTGATTAATTACGTTTATAAAAATATATTAAAGAAAATTATAATCTACATATATATAAAAATAAGTCGGGTTTTCTTTCCTGACGAAATAACTCCAGAACGCACGAACCGGGTTCGACAATTTTGCATTCTTTGTAAAGGTCTCGGGCTTCGCAAGGTTTATAGCTAAGATTACATATTAAGAAATTAGTGGTGCATGGCATCGTGCCTTAATGCAAGATTGCAATTTCCAGTTCGCCTTGCGTTCGCAATGACAACTAACAAGTCGCAAGGCCAATCGCTTATTGTTTGCGGGATAAATTTCAAATAGATTATTTAGAAAATCATTGTTTTTCACATGGGCAGTTATACGTTGCCTGTTCACGAGTTGGAAAACCATCCGCTTTGTTTGTGTTAACGTCAGACCAAAAAACAAAAAATGTGATTTACCAAAGAGCTCTTCATTGAAACGGATAATTTGCGGATTCATTTTCATTTACTTAGAGAAGCTCAACTAAAAAAAATACTTCATTTTTGTAATCGAAATTAATTCATTACTGTTGTGCAATAAAATCAAATTTTTCCTTTTCAAATATAAAACAAACAAAAAATGTCTTCATCTTTCTCACGAAACCATCTGGTGGCGAAACGGAGTTCGTCGGGTTTGCTAGTTACGATATAAAGCAGTTAAATGAAAAATTAATACAATTGCGATCTCAATTCAAAACATTCATATTTCCATTAAGGGCTACACAAAGTTCAAATCAATAATTAATTCCCTGGAGAGAATATAAGAGCCAGAGAAGTAGTTCCTAATCTAATTTGATAGCTCGCATTTAATTTTTTTGCTATGTTCCAACCTGTTTAGTCTCGATTTTGCATCATTGAAATAATGTTACCTGGAACACGATTTGGAATAAATCAACATAATGTTGACTTCAAAATTAAGTAGTTCGCATCAACTGAATAGATATTCAAATCATGTAACATTTGTGCATAGCCGGTCAGAGGTTGAAACTTTGAATACGATAGGTATACTGAAGTCGAGCGAAATTTACATATGCCCGATGAGTCATGTTTGATTTATGCACATGAGAGTTGTGGCGTCACTGTTTTTGCATCCCTGACTGACTCATGACGACTCATACGAATATGAAAAAATAATAAAAATACGTTCACTAAATCTATCACTATTTTATTAAGTTACTTGATATTGCCTTCATGTGGAGAGCAATCTCTACATACGTTCAATGAAATTTCAATTATGAGATATCAGTGAGAATATTTGAAAAGTTTCTTTGTTCGCACGATCCCTCATATAATATATATATATATATATATATATATATATATATATATATATATATACATATAGATATACATACAGATAATAAGGGTTTGTTTAGTCGGTTTGCCGCATGGACTTCACGGTTAACATTTTTGTAAATTATATTTATTCTATATTTATATATACTATCATATTACCACCAAGCAATTTAGCCCCCAAAAAAATTTTATTGTTTTCTGATTATTTAATTAACACATTATATTATTATTTCATTTTTTATCAATTTTGATTATGGAATAAAAACTTTTGCATTAAATTCGTTGGTAAATGGCCTAAACAAGAAATGATGACAAAAATAATAGTATAAAATAAATATGTATATATATATATATATATATATATATATATATATATATATATACATACAAAACATTTAAATTAGCAAAGCAAAACTAATTGTTTCTATTGCATTTTAATGAAAGATTCATAATAACAATTGTAATGTGTAATGTACCATGAAAATAATATTCGTGATTCGTGATAAATAAATGTCAATAGCGGATGCTGTAAAACGAAAATATTTGTATCTGTTGCTCGCAATTAGCGCAACTATATTATTAATTGATTGCATTACAATATTCATAGCATTAATTAATCACTGATGCTGCAATGATAGATAATTATAAAATGAAATCATGAAACTGCACACATGATATGTGATTTATAATTTTAATAGCTAGGATAATATATGTAGGATATAAAGCAATGAGGGCGTAAAAACTAATATGTATATATATAGTATATAAGTAATATAAA